TCGAGCAGCTCTCTCAATTTACTGTCGCTACGTTTTTGACTAAGTGAATATGTGATCTTGGAAGCAAGCTTCTCTAACAAGTCGGGGTGAGTGTGAGGCAATCGATCACTCGATTAAGATTAAGACACTTAACATACACATACACACTTAAGGTTGAAACACATTGCTTTTTGACAATAAAAAACAAAAACAAAAACAAAAAAACATTAGCCACTTGAGTTGGTTATCTGTCTCAACGAACTATCACAATCCATTTAGATCGCACAGATCTTTTTAATTTTAGCTCGTAAATATGTTAGCATCGATAAATATTTTTTTAAACTTACCGATAACTCGATGACAGAATTCTTTGGTCACTTAACAAGAAAGAGAATTATTTTCTGTCCAAAAGTTTCGATTAATTTGGCAACATTTTTGATATCACTGTCGATTACGCACGTGCGGTTGCACCTGCATCAGTCGGTTACGTAATCAAGAGGAAAGGCCAAAGTAAGCTCAGAAAAAAAAGACAAAACAAAACAAAACACAACAAACATGATTTTTAACAATTTTCTTTAGATTTTTTCGCAAAAATCGGTGAAATTCTCTCATACACAAAGTCAAAAAGTAATCGGAACGGAATCAACGTATAGGCAGACAAAATATGTTTACTTTCATCACACAAGGAGGACAGTTATGTAACATTAGTGTTTTTAAACCAGTAAGTTAGCATTCTCTGCAAAGGATCATGGTCGCCTGATTCCTAACGCAAATTCAACATTTTATCAACAACAATTGGAATGTCAAACATCACAGCCCTTAAAAGTCATTTAGGAAAAGAAGAGAAAGGATATACAATCATAAGCAGAGGAAACCAACAATGAATACAAAGGACAAACAATTATTTTGAAAAAGTAAAGAATTGAACAAAATAAAAAACTTATGGTGAAAAATCCCTTCAAACTGAATAGAAAAAACCAACGTCAAAGCCAAAACGTAGTTAAAGCTGGTTGATGGAACGTCGAAAATGCAAACAAACAAAGAACAATCAACACAGAAAACGCTGAACAACGGGTCAAATGATAAAGAACTGAGTTTGGCGACCACCGGGACAACCGATCAACATGGTCTATGTGGAAGTCTTCTTTTAGTTGATGTGCCACAGTCGTTTTTTAAATTCATTAACTACCATTTCTTTCGGAGAAAGGCATCGTATTGGATTTCCTTTTTTGTCTAGCTCCGTCAAAGTCTGCCATTTACATACGTATTATGTAACCATAACAGCACATCTAAATAAAGGAATGAAATAACAAAGAGCCCTTCAACTGTTTTCATTTTGACTGGGCCTTGAAAGTTGAAAGGTGAAAGGTATAAGAACATTACGGATATAAGCCATAAGCCAGTTCGGAAATGAAAATATTACAAAAAAAAGTTATGTAAACAGTTATTGAGGGTGAGCCCAAGGGGGCAATAGCTTAATAAAACAAGCCGATTTCGGTTGATTTAGCGGATCAATATCATCTGACAAAGAGGAAAAACATTTATTTTAAGATCGAATGATTAATGTGTCGTTTGAAAGAATCACTAAGGAAACAAATATTTTGAACCCGTCCAGAAACTTCGAAAGGTTTGAATTTTTAGCATACGTGCTTGCTACGGTTAGCCAAAACAAACTTCTACTGTTGATTGCTTAGTTATGTTTTGAGCATAAAACTTTGTAGAAATGCGACTTATGGTCAAGGAATGCAAACTGCAAAACTCTCATCTCATACTTGGGTATGGGCATTGATGAAGAGTTAAATTCATTCACGTATACGGTGCCCTAACGAGTTCGACTCCTGATAATGAACCTGACTAATGAGGACTTAAAACATGATAGTTAATTGATGATGAAGGGGAGAACTTGAAAATCAACTGGGGGGTATGGTAAAAAGATTAATTAAGTAGGCTAAAGTTGACCGAAAATATCGGACATTTAGATACGTTAATGGGTAATTCATCTTTTAAAAGTGAAGATTAACTTTGAAATGATAGCTGATCTTGCTGCCCTTTAACACCCTTGAATCAGTTACTTAGGAGAACATTTGCAAAGGAAGAGGGTGTTGAAAACTATGAGAAACGTTCAAAAGCGCTAGCTCTTTTTTTAGTACCAAACTGGTTCATCATTGGCAATCCTAGTTAAGCTGTGACCTATTTCAAGGCTTAACATTAACCCTTTCAAGCCTTAGTTATAAGCGTCTGATTTTTCCCTACAATATTACCTCTGAATCAAACATTCACGTCACGAAAATGAATGAAATGATCACTTACCAAAGATTCTCTTGATCGTTAAACATGCATACTGAAGGTTAAGGCGTAAAATGCAAGTCTAGTCCTGAATACTTCTTAGATTTATGATATTCAGTAAAGAAAATACAATAACGTGAAGTGGTCTTGTGCTTGTCGGCAGAATTTTGGGTTGTCTTTCAATATAGGTTGGACAATGAGTTACTCAATTTTAGCCACGAGCCACAAGCTTTAGTTGGTTACATAATCAGTAAACGGAAAATTAGCTATAATGTAAATATAAAAAAAATACAACGCAACTGAAAACAATTATCATTAATTTAATCTAAAACTCTATTAAAGCGAAGTCAGACATCATTTACAAATAGCAGAAAATTTTAATGAGAATCGGCTGGCAGTTCGTAGTCGATTCTTGCAGGTTGTTTTACCATTTTCTCGTATTATGAATATTGCATATTTTTGGGACAAAATTTGATCCAAAGGTTCTAATGTCAATTGCCCTTAAAAAACAAAAAGTGAAACAAACTTCATTAGAACTGAAGGACCAATGCTGGTACAATTTGAGACACTTCAGCTGTCCTTATACAAATGTAGTCCTAATGCTTAGTACACTGACGAAAAGCAATGCTCAACTTGCAGAACTTCCATTTAAATTTAGCTGTGGAATACTGACTCAGAAATTCTATCATAGCTTACAATTCTTGGTTGTGTGCAACAAATATAGCTATTTCACTTTTTCTGGAGAAATGTTTGCAATGTAATATTGCACAATCAAAATTTTCAGACGCAAGAAGACACCTTTCTAATAAGGTCACAAAGAGGTTTGAAATTTCAATTTCACATAAACACTAAAACCACCAGATGAATATGCAATTCACAACTTATAGCCACAAATGCAGAACTGATAACGATGCGGTATTTCGCAAACAAATCATCTGAACGTTGGCATTTTTTTCATGAAAACATGATAACTATGCCATATTTTGAATGCATGCACTAGTTAAGGAGGAATTCTTCACATGATAATCTCTTCTGAATTGGAGCAATTCAAAACCAAAACAATTAAGAAGGGATAAGGACCTAAATGTCTTAAGTAGCTTAATATCAAATCCGAGTGGACTTAATTGGGAGGAAAATAAACACGAATTTAAAGTAAACAAAGAAATTTTAAAAATAAATCCTTAGCTTTTGAAAATGACCAGGTACAATGAAATCGGTCCATGCAAAGCTTGGGGCAATAACTTTTCTTAGTAAAATGGTCTGTTAATAGTCTGATCAACTCAATTATCTATCCCTACCCATCTCTCTCTTATTAGGAAGTCTTCAAGAAACGCCTTAAAATAGCTAAATGGTTCAACTTATTTAGATTGTGCAAAGTCATAAGGTCATAGAGTTTGCAAAACTGGAGCCGGCTTTGAAAGGAGGCTGACGTTTGAACCTCTTTCGACGTAGTGATAGAGTTCCCCTTTTCGATCAAGTGGTCATTTCCTAAGATTGCATCCGCATCACTACAAAGTGTCATTTACTTCACTCACCGCCAGAACATTGTAAACTGCTCTTCTGTGTCAATATTCCTTTGAATATCACTGTCACACTTAGAGATTATTTTACTGCCTAAATAAACAGCGTATCAGGAAACACCTACCTTTTTTGGATAAAGAATCTAAGGACTTTTGAAATAGGTAACTACATCCAGTTTTCGAGGAATCTTAGCACTCTAAAATGCACCTTCTCAGCATGAAGGTTTTAGTTTACTGACGACTTCCGAGAACCTACATCAACCTACTTTCAACTCAGAAGCTAAATTCGAGGTGAGTAAATCGTGGAAACTTTGTAGATGACAAACATTGGCTAGAGAGGCAAAGCCTCATCTAACTTGTGGAAACTTAAACGTTCGTCTCGTTTTTCTCCATAAATTTTATATTTCGTGAGATTTCTCTTCATAACATTCGAGGCTTAAGGTTTACACAATCCCCTAATCGTAGTAGCAGTTTGCGTGAGTTAAGTTGTCTGTAATAACACGAGAGGAGTCAGTTTATCGGATTTGACTGGGCGTTAAAATTCGATAAAGAGAGAAAGAAGATTTTGATCAGATGATGTTTCAGTTTGCTGATGAAAATGCAATAAATAAAGTTCCTCATTTACGTAAGTATTCAGATCGCCATCTAAACAAATCAATAATCTCATTCTGTAATGAAATACTGGTAAAATTGCCCATTTCGTGTTCGAGACGAAAACAGATTTTTGTAGATTTATTTTTGGACACAATTTGTTTTCACGGAGGAATCTTCTGCCTAAGAAGGAAGGAAACCGTCAGAAGCAGAGAGAACTCCTCTGTTTTCGGTAGGACATGACCAGCACTCAGAGAATATGGATTTTATTGCATTCAAGCTATTTTGAGCTTTAATCAGTATGGCCTTTTTCGCATATTTTTTAACACTCTTTTCTAAAGTTAACGATTTGAAATACAACACTCCACGTTGAAATCGCGTGTTTGGATGCTTCTTTCAACTACAGTAGAAAAAATGTTTGGCCTGCCATTGCCTGCTGCGTGCCAACATGGGCAAACCCAAATTAAGTGGTAGAAATGGTTCCAAGTAAGGTTTTCCATGAACAAGAATCAGCGTTAAATGGAAAAGCTGACATATAGTGGATCACGAGGCGCTCCATTTTCCCCAGCCTATCCGTTTTAAATAGCTAAAAAATTACAAGATTTGCTCTGTAACAATCCCTAGCCGTTCAGCATGATTTGACCCTCTTAGGGGCAGGACAACGGTATCTTACTTAGGGTTTGTCACACATTGTTATGTCTGGTCATGAAAAAGGGGTTGCTCACGTCGTGAACACATGGTGAAATCCCTTCTCTCCAACCAGGACTTAAAACGAAAGATATATTGATTGAGGTTCTTGCTCATGTTTTGCTACGTGATCTCAGAAGTCTCTCTTTAACTTCTCCTTCCGCAAGGAGCCCACTCTTTTTCTGCGAGACAACCGCAAAATCTTAAAAAAAGGCGAAATGACCTCACGCACTGAAGAGAAACGGAAATCCAAGTTTGGAAGTTTATTGAATTAATGTTATCAGATCTATCCGATTGACAATAATTAGCAGTCAATGAACAGACCTGACCTTGTTGTTTAAATCATTTTACTGAGAAAAGTCTAGAAATCTCAAAAGCTGTTTCTGCCGTGTGAAATGCCTATTTACTGTTTGACTCGGAAATAACGAAGATTTTTCACGCTTAAACTCTACGGGTACGGTGGGATGGGGGAATTGGACGAAGGATGATAGGACACCGTACGGAGATATCCCAGGGGTTTCCCAATTAAGAAATCAGGAGGACTCCCAATAGAAATCCGTAGTTTGACTATGATTGAAAGTAGTAAACACCAGTCCTTTTAATAATATTCACGCGTGCTTACTACACGCGTATTCATCATAATGGCGTCAAAAAATACTTATTAATTGATAAATGGCTTGTTTTGACGTAGACAGCACATGTGCTTGAAGAGTCGAAGGTCATTTCCGTCTGGACGCTTGATACGATTTAGAACCTTGCAAACTACTTTCGGAAATAACATTTCTAACCACGAAAGGTTTCATCTTACCGCTAGTGATTGACCTCTTCCAGTCAATTTACGCAAGAATGCTATTTACACCAACAATGGAAACCACGTAACACTTTCCGTGTTATCTAGGTGTGAACTTGTGAGCTTGCCTACGCAGAAATCCTTGGGTTTCGTAGCGGTTGGTATGAACAAAGGAAAATAAACAAACACATCGTGAAATATTCGCTCAGAACCTTAATCGCTTTGAAATTTAGTCAGGACATATTTTTAGAAAGAAATGCACGATACCGCATTTCTCCCTCTGGCGAAGTTGACGCAGATAAATAATTTCTCAAACATTTTCTTAAGAGATGTGTTAAATCATAAAGGAAATATCAAAAAAGCGACAAAGAGTGCATTTTGAAAATGATGAGTTGCTTCGACATGGCAGTTGTTCAAAGAGTCCAACTAACAGGAACTCTTAACAAATAAACGCTGAGGATAGCATAAACTGACCAAGTTTGACGTCCAATTATAAACTCTATCGCTGGAATAAAGGTCAAACTTAACCTCATAATTAAAGGCGGTCGTAAGCAGGTAATCAAAAGCTGTGATTATGGAAGTGGTTTTACGTAAAACGTGAGGCGAAGGCATCTGGCAATTATGCATTATGTCAAGAACTAATAAGCCGTACAGCACGTGTCGGTATGGCTTGTATCACCCCTAGATTTTCCGCACCCACCTAAATAAGTTATAAAAGGCGCTGACACATGCTAGGATTTTAGTTTTAACACAGCTGAGGAAGCAGTAGAGCGAGTATCATACCATGGCGGGTTTAAAGAAGAGTTCATGGCTGCATCTTCTACTGCTGGTAGTCTTGTTATTCAGCGAAGGTTTAGCACAACAGAGGTCACCGTCATCTTCTCGAACCATCCGGAGAGGGTCCCATAGAACTACCTATAGAAGCAGGCAAGGCGCAAGACGCGCGTCTACGAGTCGCACGAGGACTCAGAGGTATGGTGCTGCAGGACGGCTTAGAGGCGGAGGTAAGGCTTTTTACGATTTTGTTATTAATGTCCAGTATTTTACTAGGTACATTGGCCAAAGTGAAAGAGAAAATCGTAATACCACTTTCATTTAGGCTTTGCTAGACAGTGATAGGTCTTTTCAATTTTCAAATAGGGTTTGACGGAATAAGCATGTCGGTTGTTGATTTCGAAATACGCACTGATCAACGTAGTGTTTTTGAAACTTGATAAAATGTTCCAAATAACTCCTTGCTGCTTTAAGCGTTAGTGATGTTTAGGCAATTCTGGGTTCATTGCTGCGTATGTGGTGTTGGTGATGTTTAGGCAATTCAGGGTTCATTGCTGCGTATGTGGCGAATAGCACTGTATGCGTTGATCGTACTGCGAAATTCAAAAGTACTTCTGATAAACAAACAAAAAGAAGCAAATGAATAAATGACAAATCGAAGAGTATTAATCGAAGACAAGATTTTCATCGCACGAGTGGGATAAATGTCATTGGTTTTTAAGCCTCGCATATTAATGGTGAACTTAAGTGGCACCTCGAGAGAAAGGTTAAGCCAATGACGATATCATTACATCACACTACTTATAAATTAAATAAAAAAAAGGGTTCAAACAGTGATAAGGAATAAGAACACTCCCACTGGTCTGGCATCTTTTCCGGGCATCTCCATATCACACCACTATGTTGCTGAGTATCAAGGGTCACGTGCTTAAGATGATTTTTTTAAAAAAACATTTAACCCCCAAGAGTGCTTAGCACCAAATATCTCCTTACAATAACACCCCTCAATCTCGATTTAGGTCGCGAGGATAAAGGATATGATCTCCAACTAAAAAAGGTCTTGATCGTCGAACGAATTTTCCTTGTCAGCACCTTAAAAAGAGTATGGAAAACAGTATGGGGAACATACATACCGTGCATAGGTTAAGGAAAGAACAAAAATAAGCGGCATGGATTCCACATCCCCAGATTTCTCGCATGAACATGAAGTCGGGGAGAAGGGGGGGGGGGGGGGGG